ATGCCAGTTTATCCCTTTGGGTTTACTATAATTATTGCTCTGTCAATATCATGAATGTAAACACCTCCCTTAGAATAGGATAAAAATTATTTAGTTTTCTCTTCCAGCTTCTAGATATTTGGTTTTCTAAGCTTTCACTATAAAATTAAAGCATAGAGTTTGACATTAAAATGCTGTTCCAGAACCTACCCTTGGTAACGAGGCCTATTTCATGTAAATACAATTTAAAGAGAATATGAGTGACAGCCTGAAGGAATCCATAGTAGAATAAAGGTAGAAAATTTAAACTTGTGTTTTTTCCTTCAGTGAAACAGATGCAGTTTGCATTAATTTATCAGGAAAAAAATTGCAAAAAAATACTTATACGCATATTTGTTGACCAACTATTTGTCTGCTGTTTGCAAGAAGATATTAAACACCTCAGACTGTATCCAGCTGTTAGGTTATGCTGTTAATTTCTGGCAGTAAAATACTGGCTAAGTCAATATATTAGCAGATTGGGTACCAGTCGAACTTATGGAATTAGTTTAGAAACAGCCAATGTTAGATACCAGCAAACCTTTCTGGTAAATCTCCTAGTGTGTAAGTACTGTATGGTAAGAGCTATGAGTATATAAAATGTAAAGAAGTATATAACCCCTATATGTGAAGAGCTAGTTAATCACCCATGATATTTAAAGGTTCCCCATTTTTATATGTTAGAATAATAGTGTATCTACTTTTTTTTTAATTGGAAGGCCATTGTGTATTATATGAAGAGTTTCGTACACATTGGATTTTACACTATCCTATGGATGGGTGTGTTAAGATTTAAAGTTAGTTTGAATTATATGCTGTTTTGTAAAGAAAGTAACAAAAGTTTCAGAGTTGTAATCTAACAAATATGAGTAACATAGGCCTAGGGGAAGTTGCAGGCTGTCCTCTGTGTGTGCGGGGAGCAAAGAAGGACGTAGACACACATATGTAACTGCTGGAGAGGGTAGTGGTCAAGAACAGAAGGTAGGTTAGTACCACCTGTAAAGGAAATTACCACTGTTGTAGGAGAGCTTGGGCTGTGTTCACAGATCTTAGTTTTTAGTGTTGCCAAGGATATTAGGAACCATCTAATTCATTTGCTAGATGGAGGATTTGAAGTTCAGAAAAGTTGAATGACTTATCTAAATTCACACAGCATGTTTTTGGCAAATTCAAAACAGAAAGCCAGGTCTCCTTCCATTATACCACAGTTATAGGATAACAGGACGTTAATGAGGATTTGAAGAAGTTAAGTGATTAAATCAAAATGGCACATCAACACTTGAATTTGATGATGGTTGTTAAGATCCACTTAAGAGAACAGAATGGAAGACAGGGACACTAGAAAGAAGAATGTTCTAGAATTCCTAGTTAGTAGTAATGAGGAACTGGACAAAAATTTTGACAGCGAGTTGGAGAATCAGAGGGAGGTTTGAGAAATGTAGTGAGGAAAGAAACCGGGCACTTTGTGCTTCCACTGCAAATGTTCTCCCGTGTATCCCAGTTAGTGTCTAGTTCTTCACTGCTAGTGCTTCTGGGGGAGCAGGGGACAAAGCTTTTCCATTCCTACCACTTAACACTATGGCCGAAGTTCAATATATACTTGTTGAATGAATAGTCCTAGAAGTTGTCTGTCTGTAGAGAATGGAAAAGACTGATCATTTGAAGCCAGACTGAATCATAATTATAATAACACAGTTTGACAAGAAGAACAGTTGATGAAGACTAAGACTTCGGAAATGCCATGGTGAGATATTACATCATTGCACATAAATTTGAAAGGACAGTTATCACTGACTAAAATACAAAGGAGATAGTAATGAATATATCAAGTATTGAATATATTCGATAGGTAGGAAAAAGTACCATGTGTTACCCATGCGGACAGGGAGAAAAAAAATGTAATTTTTTAAAAAATAGAGTTCACCACAGTTTCATCTAATAATTAAGGCTTGAGCAATATTCAAAAATTGTGTATTTGTAGTATAAATCTACAAGAGAAAACTTCCAGAGCAAACATTACCACACAAACCATTATAATGTGAGGTCATGCTCTGGAACAGATTGGCAGAAAGACTTCATTCTTTTCCCATGTTTCATTCTTTTAAAGGCAAATATTGCCCTTTCAGGTTTTTTTGATGATAGCCTGATTTTTTTGTTTGTTTGTTTGTTTGTTTGTTTGTTTTGTGACTGGCCAGTACAGGAAACAAACCCTGCACCTTGGTGTTATCAGCACCACACTCTAACCAACTGAGCTAATCAGCCAGCTGATAGCCTGATATTTTATAAGAAACCTCAAGTACCTTTTTAGCCTCTAGAAATTCAACAGCACCCTAAACAAAATATGGAAGTAACTTTTCTTTGGAGTAACTTTGGAGTATTTGTTTCTTTGCCTTCACTTGTTTGCTCAAGAAACACTTGACTTTCAGCTTAAAATGGAGTGTTCTTTGGCTTTTCTAGCTGCTCTCTTTGGTCCTAATTCCTTAATCGCTGGTGGTTTCCAAAGCTTGGTCCTTGACCTTCCTTTCTTTCTGCCTGCTCTCACACCTTCACCTATCACCTCTGCCTTTGCATCTCACCTCTGATCTTTCTCTCCCTTAAGTCTCAGATACCACTTTTATTTTCTTGCTGGACATCTCACTCATCTGCTTTTATAGGACCTCAAATTAGACATTCCCCAAACAAACACATCATTTTGTCCTCAAAAAGTTATATTTTCTCAAAATGGCACCACCCTTCTCTTGGTTACAAAGGTTGGAGGACTCAAGATCGTCTTTAACTCTTCCCTCTTTCTCAGTCCACCCCTCCTATCCCCACAGTCCCACAATGTCCCTGGAGTTTGATTTATATTTGCTCCCATGTCCTCTTTATTGTGAATACAGTTTCTTACCCACTCTACCTAACATATCTGGCCTTCCTTCAAAGCCCAGCTTAAATTTCTCTTGAAGTCTTGAGTCACATATGAACGTAACCCCTCTTACCTTTGGACACATGTGTCATTTTATTTTAATGCCTTGTACGTCATCCATCACATTCTTTTTTTATACTGGTGTTTTGTATACTCTCCTACCTCTCATATTAGACTTTTCTTTTACTAATATTTTTTTATGGCAGGGTCTCTTCATTTTTCTTATTCCCAGGATACAGTAAATGCTCGATTTCTGTAGTAAGTGCTCAGCATGTTTGTTGAATGGATATGAATGTCCAATACTCTCGTGTCCTGAGGATATTTAATGATCAGAGATGCTGAAAGAGGCTAGATCCTTTATGAGAAAGTAATTACATGATCGGTAATGTTTTTATGTTTTGTTAATTGAAAAATAATACTGTTTTAGGTGTCAAATTGGTTTGCTAACGCAAGACGTCGGCTTAAGAACACTGTTCGACAGCCAGATTTAAGCTGGGCTTTAAGAATAAAACTATACAACAAGTATGTGCAAGGAAATGCTGAGCGCCTTAGTGTAAGCAGTGACGATTCGTGTTCCGAAGGTTTGTTCATATTTTTATTCTGCTTTCTTTGCTTTGCTTGTGTAATAAGTTCACCACAATTGCTATTTTTAAGTTATGGCCCACAAAACATGGTGGTGCCATGACGGCTCTTTTTTATTGCACAAGGTAACTTCATTTTTACCATACTGTAATTGACCAGCAGAATTATGGCCTTTTCCTCTTGTTTATAGGTTTATCGTGTGTCAGAATTACATTTTCTGTGAAATTCATTAAAATTAAAATACGATAGGAAGAAATTAGATAAATCCCTGCTTCCTTTTGCCTAAAAAGTAATCTTGAATATCAAAGATAATTTTATATACTTTAAATACCTTCTTTATCTATGTATTTAGTGATTAAATAATAACGATTGGGTGCTTGGGGGGAAAGTATGTATAAATACTACTTAGTGATATTTTTCCCTCTTAGATGGAGAAAATCCTCCAAGAAACCACATGAATGAAGGGGGCTATAATACTCCAGTTCATCCTGTGATTAAAAGTGAGAGCTCGGTAATAAAAGCTGGAGTGAGGCCAGAGTCGCAGGCCAGTGAGGACTACGTGTCACCCCCAAAATACAAGAGCAGCTTGTTGAACCGTTACCTTAACGACTCTTTGAGACATGTCATGGCCACAAACACTGCCATGATGGGAAAAACAAGGCAAAGAAACCATTCGGGATCTTTTAGCTCCAACGAATTTGAGGAAGAATTGGTGTCTCCATCGTCATCAGAAACCGAAGGCAACTTTGTCTATCGCACAGGTAAGCCTGTGCTTTTTGTAGTAATTACTGTGACACTGTGTTTAAGACAAAATTAAAACTGCAGCAGAAGGGTTTATTTTGACAGTTATCTGATTACTCTTATGTTGCCCAAAATTCAGTTTGTTAAAACTTTCATTTTGTTCTTAATTGCCAATTGATACGTTTGTTGGTAGGTGATGGCCTTACAAATACTGAGAAATTTCCAATTTAGATAATGTTAAGAATTTTCATGCTTAATGATCATTTTAATCTTAATGGTAAAAGTGTTTAGAGGAAGGATATATTGGCCTTTATGAATAATATACTGGAGGAAAGTGCTGGGTTGTAGCCAGTCATACAAATACTTTGTATTCCATCTTTTCTCTTAAATGCTTTGATTGCTAATAGTGATAGGAAATGAACACAAATTAACATGCGTGCTGAGCTTTTGTGAAAGAAAAGTATAGGTCTGGCTTCAGTTGCTTTGAAAATTTTTCTTTCATTCCTGGAAAGCATAAGTAGGGCTGATAAATAGCTTTGGAAATTTTACTTTTATTCCAGAAATAATGAATCGATTTCTACCTGTCCAAAACTTTCAGATGGAGTAGCAAGTTTGGTAAAATTTTCTGTCTCGACTTCAGTTCCCAGAGAGATTTGATCTTAAGGAGTGTTTGAGCAGGTTGCTTTGGATCAAGGCATATGCATGACCTGCATCTGGTATATATAGAGTCTGGGTCTTGAAAATGCGAACAAATGAGATTTATAATGTTAGAGCTGGAAATAACTTTAGAAAGCATCTAGTCCAGTCACACATGTCACCGTGAAGAAAGCCCAGACCAAGAACACATAGTAGTTACTCTTCTCTACATTAATAGTGCAGCTGAGCCTGCACAAGAGATAGGAGGAATGTCACTACTCCTAGACTACTATTACTGTTATCATTATACCTATTGCCACCAATCACTTATTGAATAGTTATGATATGCTAGGCCCTATGATAAATACTATATGAATGTTACTACATTTAGTCCTCACAATATTGAGGAGCTTGAAATATGAACAATAGGGCTTTATAAAATAAGCTAAATTTGGTCTGTTAAATATGCCTTTCAGATTATTTAGCCATAAATCTGATTTTCAAGTATCTACAAATGTGTACAAGATATATGATCTATGAGGAATCAGAGAAAATTTCAGTAGGTTTTTAAAGACTTAATCTTATTTTCTGTTGGCATCTTCAACTCCAACAATAAAAACAACTTCGAGTCTCAAAAATACAAAAATAATCTTATAAGTAATAGTTGGATCTAGGCAAAATAAAAAGTAAAAGGCTATTTAGCCAATAATGAAAATGAAGAAACTACATCTAACTAATGTTACCAGAGCAAAACTTGGAGGTAATTCAGAGCTTTATGAATGTTTATTTTCTGAAGAAGGAAAACAAAGTTATTCAAATACAGATAATTGAAAAAAGAGTAATAATATAACAAAAAAAGATAAAATAGAAAGCTGAAAAATAGATAAGTTAATCAACAGTTGACTCTTTGAAAGCAATAATAAAACAAGCAAAAATTGACACAAATTAAAGTTGCAAATGACAAGAGATATAGCAACCAATACATAGTTATTAAGCAAGAAAGATTATTTTAAATTATGACGAAGTACTATACGTAGTTGGACTATATACTATGTGTAAATGTATGTATGAAATGATTTGGTATTATTGACACAAATTAAATTATAAATTCATAAATAAGAAAAGTTTTAAATCACCAATAACTCAAGAAAAATTAAAGTTTTTAGTAAACCAAGTTCCCAAAACACATGACTTGATAGATCTGTTGGTGTTTTTTCCTTAAACTTTGAAGAAACAATTAATTTGTATGTTTCATACATTTTTCTGGAACATATAAAAATACAAGAAGCATCTCAG